CATTAATAGTGCAGACGGCATCATATTAACCCCATTGCTCTGGGTTTCCAATGAAAGGTACACAAGTGGCCCGCAGGACAACGGTTACTGTGCTAATCATTAATAGTGCAGACGGCATCATATTATACACATCTGGAGAGACGGCCCCGCGGCTGTGTGTACACCCCTCGTGGCAAGTCCTACAACGCGCCTGGCACCGTGGCACTTCTCATCGCAAGGGTGAGCATTGATTACACAATAAACCCATCGCAAATCAGGGACACCTGTTTCAGGAATGCATTGAGCATGTTTCCCCAGGACCAGCTGTCCTTCCCACTCAGCAGCGCTGCCGCGGGCATGATGGTGAGGGTTAATACAGGCCCCATACACACGTGTGTGTGTGTGTGTGTGTGTACACTCACACGCATGCAAAGGGTGCAAATGCACTCCCCATGGTCCTCCAAGTAAACTGCTTTGGCCAAGTTACCGCTGAGGTAAGACAGGTCACCACGCATCAGAATGCTGGTGTAAGTGGCCAGCCGGGAAAAGGCAGGAACAGCAAACCTCCCGAGCCTCCCTCTCCTGTGCTCCTGCCAGCTGGGAAAAGGCTGGGGCCCAACTCCCCCCCCACCCCCCCACTCCGTTCCTGCGTATGGGCCTGTAATAATGCTAGGCCAGTGGGGATGGGCCATGTTTGCTGGTATAGCTCAGTAACTCAGAGCTTGTATGATTCAAGCTGCCTTATTTCAGTCCCGTCAACTCCCCCGGGCTGCGACCAGCTCCCTCTCCTTCAGCTTCTGCCTTGCTGCTTGGAAGGTCCCGATTAGGTAATAACCTCTGGATCAGCTAAACGCTTATTATCCATCGAGGGAAGGGGTAGGGAGACGACTTCCCCCTTTTTGCAGATTTGTTTAAGTAATTGTTGAAACTGGTTAAGGGGTTATTTATTTAAAGAGAAATGTCTCTGTGAATGTTGTTTTGTGTGTGTGTGTGTGTATAACACTAATTAGATTAGCTAGTAACCAATTAATTGAGCTCATTTGAAATAGGAATTGAAGGTGAATGGAGTTTCGGAGATTTAGTAAAGTGTAAAGCGTAGCTAGGCAGTGAACCCAGGATCCTAGGCTTAATGTAATGTTTACGATTTTAAATAGTATAGTCAGGGGAAATATACAGAACAACACAAAGTGCAGTTTTCTGGATTTACAAGAATCACAAACCGCTAAGGTGTATTGGGTAAAGAGAGGAAACGAAAACGTCTGCCAAAAGCAGGGTGTTCACAAGCCAAGAAATTAAGCTGCATCAAACGGTTCAAAAGAAAACATTACTTACCCGGAGGTACCAAAGACTCAGCCCCCACTTAGTCGTAGAGACTATAATCCAAATTCCGTACGCTGTCCGTCTGACAGACGCTGCTTTTAATTTGGGATTCTAAATCAACAGGAAGCAAAAGGTCACTGGATGTTTGAGTAGCGGCTCACAGATTACACCCACTGGGGAAGTGTATCTGAGCAGTTTGGAAATGAGGAAGTAGGCAGATTGAACTGCTTTTCTCAGAATAATATTAAAATTAACACTAATCCTCTTAAAGAGTCGAAATTGAATCCTCTTGATTCATCGGGCTGCGTCTAGTGTTAGGATAGAAGGGAAAACAAACTCTTATCACTTACTAACCCTCCCCCGCTCTGAACTTGTGAGTAGCAGGCAGTAAGAAACGAGAGTAATACCGTTAGGTGCAATTCAATTAGTAAGATTGTTATTTGCATATTTGTATTGGTACATTTGCAGTCACAAACATTGGGGTCTGAATCGGTTGCTGTGCAATATGATTCCAAAACTAGGGGTCAAGTTAGTTGTGGTTTCAAACATACCCAATTTGGTAAAGGAAACCAGCAACGTACATTCTTTCTGCTCTGCACAGGAAGTGTCTTAGGAAAATGCAGCTGCGTTTGTCACCTACAATCTAGTTATTGTAACAGGTTTGAATTTTACAAGCAGAAACAAAGCAACCGCTTCTTGCAATGTCTCTCTGACGCAGCCCACACAACGATATGTGTTTACTTGTTTAAACAGTTTTACCAAAGAGCAAAAGTACGAAACAAATCAGAGCAGATCATTTGAGCGTGTCCTGTGAAACCATGTGACCATGCATTAAAGAGACAACAGCAACCAATCTGCTGCTGCTTAAAGGACACTCGCAGTCCTCATGCGGACAGAAGTGTCTTTTGTAGGGGCGCTCTTGTCTCTTGAGCAGCTTCCCAGACTGGCCAGTCGGTATTTGGATGGCTCTTTTGGCACGTGGCGGCACCTTTAAAAGGTGCCCAGAGAGTTAGGAGCTTTCTGCAGAGGAGATCCGTTACAGGGGCTTCAAACAGCCAGCGTTGTAGGGGCCTAAACTGGTTTTATTCCTACACTCGACTGTGTGGATCTGAGGAGCCACCCACTGTGCCAGCTGAATAGCTGCACGGCCCTCGCGCTTCGGGCACTGTAGTAAGGTCGGCACGGTGCCTGTGTGACTCCAGTGGCCTCCAGGAGATGTCCCACAATCCCCCGCGGGGAGCGCGCTGGTCCCCGGCGTGCACTCCAGGCAGGAGTGCGACTGCAGCGTGGCTGTTGCTGGAGGAAGTGCCCTTGTGCAAGCTCATTAGTATTAATTGTCCCCTTGTGCTCCCAGGGGAAGGAGTTGAAGCTGATTTTCACCATGACTGGGGTGCCCGGCGATGCAGCTCTAGGCCTGCTGCTCCTTCCCGGGTGTCTGGGAGCCATTTGTCTTGCCGTCGCTTTCTGCAGGGCAGGGCCATGATGGGCGGCTGAAGCAAAAGTTCAACCCAACTTTGTTTTGTACCATCCAACTCTATTTCCCATGGTCTCAGGCTCCGCCAAGGGAGCCCGTAGACTGGCCAGCATCCCAGCCCCAGCTGAGGCCCCTGGGCGGCAGGAGAGACAGAGCAAGGCAGGGCTGTCCCCACCCAAGGAGAGACACCTCAACTGCTGGGGCAGCACTGAGGGCTCCAACTCTGGACCAACCCTCAGCTGGTGTAAACTGTGGGGGGAAGGGAGGCAAGAAACTCCCCAGGGTCCTGGCCAATACATGCAGGCACCCAGCTCCACCCTGCCCGGAGAGGCAGGGCTACAGGCAGAAGGCCAGGCCAGTCCTGAGAGCCACGCAAGTGTGCCCTGCGGCAGCCAGCACCCCGGGGCCCTGTGGGCTCATCAGGAACAGGGGCAGCTCGGTGGGGAGGCCAGCGATGTGCTGGGGAGTGGGACAAGGCGGGAAGCAGGGGCAGGGCTGAAATAATCGAGGGGCAGGTTATTATCGTCGAATCCTAGAATCCTAGAGCGGGCAGAGACCTCAGGAGTCATCACGTCCAGCCCCCTGCCCAAGGCAGGACCAGCCCAACTCAATCAACCCGGCCAGGGCTTGGTCAAACCGGGACTTATTGTGGGGCTGAGGCCTTCCCCTCCTCATCCTCATTTGTATCACCAAAGCACCTTCCAGCCCCTGTCCTGGAGCAGCCCCCCCCCGTGCCCCCTGCACACGAACGTACAGCCCAGAGGTCGGATCGCCCAGGTGCGTGGAGCGCTCTGAGCCTGCGAAGGGGCAAGGGGTGTTGAGTATTATTCACTATTATCGAATCTTCCACCGGCGTTGGGTCCCCCCATCAATCCCTTTCCTGCCCCCCACTCTCATTACCTCAGCTTCCTAGGGACGGTCGTCCTGCTTTGCTGGCCTCTTCCGCCCTTCGGAGAGGAACTCGGCCGGTGGGGAAGACGAACACGCCCTAATCATCCTAATCTCACCCGGCAGCCGGCAGCCTCTCCCCAGCCCCACCTGGCTTTCTTGGAAATGTGTCTTCTAGATAAAAGCTCCCAACTGCCGGCCGCTGTCTGACAGCCAAGGGGTTTGGGGGTGGCTCTCAATTCCCAGCCCCCACTCCAGGGCTACCTCCTGGCCGGCACTGGACCCGTCTGGCCATTTTCAATGGATTTGCCAGTTGCTGTTAAATAATTTGATCTGCTGGTTTGTCCAGGGGCTGGAGATTTGCGTCGTTCTCACCGGCGTCTGTGCAGCGAGAGGCAGGTTCCTGCGCCCGCGGGCTCAGCAGGACCAGACCCAGCCTGTTGCATTCACAGCAGCTGTCTGCCCGGCAGCGCCCAGGCATGCGGGTGGGAGAGGGCTCGAGTCGGGGGAGGGAGGCGCCCGGAGGTGCCCCCGTTCTCTCTCTTGCACTGTGTGTGCCTGGCAAAGGGGCTGTGTGTGGAGGTGCCATGGGGGGTAACCCCACCCCACACACAGGGAGGGTTTCAGAACCCGAGGGGAAAAGGACCCTGCTCAGCCTTCTCGGGCCGGGTCTCGGGCCGTGGGTTCGACAAACTGCAGAGCGCGCCCCACAGCCAAGCGATTGCTATGGCAATGGGCCGGGTCTGGCTGCGCTCTGCTCGGCCGCGCAGCCCCCGGGCGCGGGTGCAGGGACTGTGGTGCCGCTGCTGCGGGGGGGCGGGGGGCGGAGCGG